GAAACTTTACTTCACACACACACACACACACACACACACACACACACAACACACACACACACACACACATATATATATATGTATGTATATATATATATATATATAACAGAAGTCATAATACATATTTAGACCTTAAGCCTCTTTGACATCTTAGAATCAACAACATTAAATTACATTAAGGACACGACCCTTAAAACATAAACATAAACACAACCTTATACACTTCACATAAATACATGAGTTGGAGATCCTTGAACTTAAGGATTCCTTTCATTGATCTTGGGGATCATCTATCAAGCTCTTCACAATTTAAGACATAAATTCAAAACCCATAACCTACAATTTGTTTAAATATAATATAGAATGGGATTAGTACAAGAATGCACGAAGTATGAAAACTATGCAAAAACATGCATTTAAAAGGGACATTTCGTTTAAATCATACTTCATGCCTTTTTGAGTAAATCTTCATAAATATTTTATACAATATCATTTATATAATTCACATACTTCATATAAACATTTTCAAAAGATCAAATAATACATAATATCAGGTATATAATTTAAGTCATAATTGAGTTACAGTACCGTAAATTCTTTCACGTTTACCATGCACATTATTTTCTTTTATTCATTCACTTCCCAAGTAACTCTCTAGTGATAACTGGTTCAATGTATCACCTTAAGGTCACAAGAAATCATTCATATAACCTACATAAGTCATCGTATATCATCATAAAAGTACAATCTATCAAATTCATATTTAGGTTAAGCTGTTAGGAACATTATAGTAAGCTACACCAACTTACACCTATAGTGACTTCAATTCACCTACATCATCATTGGACCTTGTTCATGACCCGAATCTTCGTCTACTAGCGCAATGAACATGTGAAGACACATAACCCACACCTGCTTAGTAAACCCTTCGTTAGGCAACACACCTTAGCACTCAATTCATAATTAAACAGGCAAGTGATAGCAACTTCATTCATGTCAATACAAGACCTTCATCATATAATTATTTATACCAACATAATGCATATAAGGATAAGATCACATCTCATAGATTCATAACATGCACATATTCATAATAAGTAGACAAATACTAGCATACAGTGCATATGGACATACTCGTAAACACACACATTAGGTCATCTTCCTAGGACTTCCTAAGGAGCTACTTGTGCAATGTATAGATGGGTTCATTACTTCCACTTATCCTAAGTAAACTCTATTATTTCCTCCTAGTTAGGATTCTATTCATTTACATCCACTGTCCATTTTACTTTTGGGAAACGATAGCCTTAATAGACACTAAGACCATGGTGCTAAACATGGAATTTGGTGTTGTAGAATCTTACACCAATTGAAGGTGTTCCTATCTAGACAAATAAGAACATTAAAACATGCTAGCATATTAAGTGATATTAAATTTCTAGATCCTATGTTATAAGCATAGTTATGGAACTTTGAGGCATATGTAAAAACCCTCTTGATGCAAAGATGGGACATTATGGTTATTCACTTATGGAATGTCTATTTATGACTATTGAGACATTGTTGTTATCTACCTAATGATATTTATGGTAGACCTTCCTTTCCATATTGGAAAGGGACACACACTCATATTAAAGTTCACTCTGTGCTAACCTAAGTTCCCTTTGCTAAAAGCCTTCATTAAAATTACTTTATAAAATATAGGGTAAGGAGATTCATCCCCCCATATTCTTAGATCATAGGTCACAAATGAATGCTCATCAACCTAAATCATGTGAGAAGATCCTTTCATTGACATAGCATATGCATTGTCACTATCTAGTTTAGGATACACTTGACCACACCTTTCAAGGCTCCTCTATTGACTAGATCATCATTCATGTGTGTGTATATAAATATGTTAGCAAACCTTTCACATAACTTAAAATGTTACACATATACATATATCAATGCATAAGTCTATATATGTACCTATATGAACATCCTTTCATATCAACACTCCAACGCACTATGAACATTCATACTTCATCATATCACATACTTAACATCATAGAATATAATTTATACTCATAATGTGTTCATACAATTCGATGCATGTCCTTAGAAGACTAACCTAGGAACTATCTCATCAAGCTGCACATGTGCATTGCATAATCAAAGTCCCATACCCTTGCCTATGCTAGTACATCTATCAATTCATCCTAGTGAATGATACATCATACAACATCATTGAATGAATAGCATAGCATAAGACTCATTTCTTTAAGACTTACAATATTCTTATAGTAAGCTTTAGTCTTTTTGTACTTATCTTAGCTTTACATCACATAGAGCATTATAAGAGCCCATCATATGAAGAAAGTACACATAACCTTAACATAGCAATTTACATGCTCATAAAAATAGTAAAATCACCTAAATTCACAACTAAAGAAGAAGACTAGGAACAACTTACACATAAAGTGTTCATCATAACCACTCCTTCTATTAATCATTATTTTCCCTTCAAGTCCAAGTCACAATTAAAATACTCAGCATTCGTAATTCATCATTGCTAATGTTACTTTTATGGTCCTCTATTTGCAGGGCTACAATGCAAAATCTAATAAGGATGCCATTCCTTCTAGAGAATTAGTTAGTGCTCATATTACAAGGGTTCAATGTTATTTAAGAAAATTATTATTTCACACACCAATTAGAACGATAAAAGAACTATAAAAGAATTTTTTAGTTGTGTTAGGGAACTTACTTTTTATGTGAAATAAATTGTAACATCTCTTTTATTGAAAGAACGAGGAAGAGCTTGATTTTGAAAGAGTCATTTTCAGAGTAAATGAAAATACAGAAATTTGTATAAATTAGGTTAAGAATGAGTTTTGACCAACTTCAAACAATCATAAAGCCAAGCTTAAGATGTTTTACGTGTATTTCAAAATACCGCATGAAAGATCGTTGAATTATATTTCATACTTTTGCCGAGTTTACATGATTCTGAGTTTGTATGAGTGAGATATTCCCTTCAAAAGATGGGTTGTTTGAATAAGGAAAGTCCAATAAGAATTTCAAAAGGGTATTATGGTCTTTTCCGTAACCTATTTTACTATAATTTTAGGAGTTCAGTAAAGATTAAACGAGAATTACATCAGTCTAGACTTTTGGAAATTCACGGTAGTGCTTTGCGAAAAGAGAAAAGAGATGAAAGGAGAAGAAAAACTCAAGATTCCCCAAGATCGTCTGATTTGGTTCTGGATTTGCAAAGGATTTAATCCTACAAGGTATTTGTGACTTTGATAACGTTAAATTTATTTTCTCACGTGCCAAACCTATTTATTTCAATGTAAACAAATCCTAAAAAGATTGATCGGGGTCCTTAAATTGCTTTCTATCATGAATTTGTTGAGATTGAGGAGTTTTTGAGAGTTAATGTTGATTATTAATGTTACAATGAGTTTGGCTATTGTGTATATGATTTGTGTACATGAATAAAAAATAAATTTGAGAAAAAGAATTGGATTAAACCGATTTAAGGTTCAAAAACAAGAAGAAAATTCGCTAGAATCTCAGTGGGTGATGCCGACGCGGCGCGCCTCCATGTCGCCAGCAAGGCTAGGGAAGCAAGCAAGAAAGTCTAGGGAAGCGCGCCTGCACTGAACTATAAAAGGTTCTCCGATATGAATGATCTTGCATGGCACGCCAGAAGTGCGCCAAGGTCGTCCGCCCTAATCCTTTTTCGTCATTTAGACGATTTAATTCGTTAAAGTGTACTATCATCTTAAATCGATTCTAATAAATCTTAGCAACTTCTAAACATCTAGAAATCATCCAGAAATATAAATCATAACCTTACATCCATAAAAATCGAATTGAATTAACGTTAACAGTCTAGTTGAGAAGTTATGAATCAAGTCAAAGAAGTTCATGAAATTTTGAAAAGTCTTTCAATTTTTTAAAAAAATTATGTTTTGAGTAAAGCAAGAATGAACGAGTTGAGTTCATTTCTTAATATATTATACGGGAACTAATTACTCCCAAAAGTGAGAAATATTATCACATTTGAGCGAGAATGGGAAACACTAATTTTCGAGAGAGATTTTAAGCTACGTTTTTGAGTAATTATTTCTCAATATGAAGTAAAAGCGGTCGCATCAAGTAAAGAACCCAACTAGTGAGGTTGGGATCGTTCCCACGAGCAAAATGGTTCTGACTTAGCTTTATTCGATTATTACTTCTATTTAGTCAATTATTTCTCGAAAATAAGTAACTAAAATGGAATTTGATGACTGAAATTAAATAGATAAATTAAAGAAAACAAGTGAAAGGTTTTAGTAGTAGAGTTTTATCAAGAAATGAGAGTAACTACGGCATAAGTTTTTCCCCACAGGCTCCTAACTCGGTAATTCTAGCTATAACAATCCTTTCCTACTATATTGCATACAAAGTGATAGGTGAAGTATCTTTATATTCTTGGTCCAACATCTAGAGAATTTCACTCCGCAGATTGGTCCGGCTACGTGTGTTGCTTTACTAGACACTATATTTACCTCATATTAAGTAGGTTATTCGATATTTGACTAAGTTGTTACTTCTTACCAACCAACACTAGCCTATTAGATAGTATACACTAAATCTATGTTGATACTTCTCTCTACTTGATACACATTCAAATCTGATTCAATAATAACCGGCAAAGTGTAATCTTTTCCCAAGAATACATACCTCAGATGAGGTACTAGAGTCTTAAGTTATAATTTTGGAGGCTCCTCAATAGACTATTTCATGGGTAGAGATTCACGATGTTGCATATTTATCTCAAATTTCTTTTGTTAAAACTAACATTACCTGTATCAAGTGTCGCGACAAATTACCCATACTCTTCAATGCCATCACTATCAAAATGCATGATCACTGCCGCCAATGCTTCGACCCGAAACGCTTTTCATTTTCTACCTCATATGACTCTTCAACTCTGTAGGGTATAGCAGATACCTATTGGAGCTCACCACTCTGCCTCATGGACCTACAAATGTTTAAGGTCCCTTTTTCATTGTTCAACCGGAATTTCAATTGACCCTTTTCCGTATAAACCAAGGATCTACCCGTAGCAAGGAATGGCCTCTGATTAATAATAGACACCTCAAAATTGACCTCACAATCAAGAATCAAAAAATCAGCTGGAAATATGAACGACTCCACTTTTTCTAGAATATCGTGGAGTATAACAGTACGCCTTTTTATAAATCGATTGGCAATCAGTGGCCGCATTGCAGTGGGCTTTGGTTCACCCAAACCCAACTTCTTGTAAATTGAGATGGACATTATATTTATGCTTGCCTCAAGATCACATTATGCTTGAGCTAAATTTAATAACCCGATTGTACAAGGAATAGTGAAAGCACCCGCATCTTCTTTTTTTGTACTAGAGATCTTGTAGCAATAGCACTATAGTGCTGCATTCTATCATCATCCTCAAAAGTAACTGATATTTTCTTTATAACCAAATCGTTCATGGACTTTGCATAACCTGGAATTTGTTCAAGAACTTCTACGAAAGTGAAATTGATAGAAAGTTTATCCAATATCATTATAAAAACGCCGGTATTTACCATTCTTGGTGTTTTTTACTAACCTTTGTAGGAAAGAAGGTGGTGTTCTAAGCATGGGGGTCACCTTTTGGGGCACCTCAACATCTTTTACCGTTTTATCTTCTAACTCACCATTGACCTCAACCAGCAAATCGTCATCTCTCATCACTTTATCTAAACCACACGGCATAGGTGGTTCAATGGTTTGCTTACCACCCCTAGTAGTGATTGCAATACTATGCACATCATTTTTCATAGTTTGGACATTGTTGCTAGGGAGAGGTACCGGCTGCTGCGTGTTAACAATTGTAAAGAATTGAGGTATTTGAAACTCAAGATACTTAATCAAGATTGCATGTGTATAAGTTTTTTAACTTATACCCACTAAGTCATTCCTTAACTCTGTAGTGTGATGATCACTAGCATCGAACTTCCTCATCATTTTATGAATCATATCCTCAACTCGCGCCATATTACCTCCTCCATCCCTGGGAGAAACTTCATGATTTTGAAGTAGAGCATAGGGCCAACTCCTATCATTGTTGTTAACATAGTTACCTTGGTTGAAGTTTTTGTTGCTATTGTAATTTCCATATCGTACATAATTAACCTCGAAGAAAGAATTACCATTGTTCTGACCTTGGTTTCCTTGACCTGGGCGCTGATTCTCCTGATTGGAGCCTTGGGCGTTCATTCAAAAAACCCCTGTCTAATCATTCACCGCATAGGAGTCCACCTCATAGTAATATTCATCATTTGGCGTGGTGGTTTAGGCAAGTACTTCACCACATTAACCTTTTACACACCCCAAGCAACATGTTTCAACAAAAACCAAAGCTAAGTTAAAATTTGATCCATCTCCTCACGAAGATCATCTGTGACTGAGTTTAGTACGAATTGGAATGTTAAGGTGTTTCTCCTAGTATCTGACTTCCTAGTACTCCAAGCTTTATTATTTTAGGAGAGTTTCTTTGAATTTTAAGCAATCTCGGCATAAGTATACTCCCCATAAGAATAACCCGCTATCTTATCCAGCATATCTTTGTTATTATCATATTGTCCCCGATATAAATACTATTTCAAAGACTCATCAAATATGAGGTGATAAAGGACACTTCGCAAGAATAAAGTGAACCTATATTAAGAACTTCTAACTTACTCTCCCGTTAGTGCCACAAAGTTGTTTACTCTATCTATGTAATTTAGTTTCTTAGACACATGGTAGTAGCGTGCTAAAAAACATCCCTCAATTGAGTCCAAGTAAAGATTGAGTTAGGGGGAGCTCAGTAAACCAGATAGAGAAATCTTAGCCTTATTACATCCAGATTAACATCGGTCCTTCTTACACAGCTTTTGCACAGTGCCCTACCTTAGCGATGTGGGCATGTGGATCCTCACAAGATATCTCTTAAAACAAACCTTTGGTAGGAAGCATTTTCATTAGAGTACTAGTTACCACAAAAGTGTGTCTATGTTGTAGAGGGGCAAGACAAGTGGCCCATCAAAGTCTGCGATATTTCCACAGCCCCTATAGTACTCTTGAGGGAGTGGAGCCAGAGATTGTGTCCATATTTAAACTTCACCACAAATATAAGGTAATAGAGGGCCATGAGCGTGGACCAATAGTGGTATTTGCGGGTCGACCTCATCATCTAAGATGCCAAAATTCTAAGTCATTATTCTTCAAGTACGCTCTTGTTTGGAGTCAAGTTAAATTACGGGTATTCCTATACTCCCTGTGTTTGGCATATAAGGAAGTTAGACCTGCAGGAGACAAAAACAAAAAGAAAAAGTAAAATTTGGAAAATGTTGACTAATCTTTGGTAATAAGATTAAAGTTAATCTAAAAACCACTTTCCTCGGCAGCACCACCAAAATTTGATACACTCAAATTTACTTCTCAAAACAAATTAAAAGCGGCCGCATCATGTAAAGAACCCAACTAGTAAGGTTGGGATCTTTTCCATGAGGAAAATGGTTCAGACTTCACTTTATTCTATTATTACTTATATTAAGTTAATTATTTCCCGAAAACAAATAACTAAAGGGTTTTTATTAATGAAACCAATTAGCTAAATTAAAGTAAACAAGTGACAGGTTCAAGTATTGCAGTTTAAAAAAGTAATTTGAGTAACTAGGGCGTAAGTGTTCCCCGCAAGCTCCTAACTCGGTAATTGTATTTCTAACAATCCTTTCCTAGTATCTTGCATGCAAAGTGATAAGTAAGGCATCTCTAATTCCTTGTTCCGGCATATAGAGAATTTCACTCTACAACTTGGTCCGGCTACATGTGTTTCTTTATTAAACCTTATTTTTACCTTATATTAAGGATCATATACCATATTTGAATAAGTTGTTACTTCCTACCAACCGACACTAGCCTATTAGGTATTATACACTAAATCTATGTTTATAATTTTTTTCTTATTATCTACCTCCTTGGTCCGGCAAGTAGCAAGAAGGTGAGTTCTAACGTTGGCCATATGTTAAAAAGACTTCTAAGCAAAATAATTATCAATATATGCAAGACAATACTCTAGAATCATTATTTTAGCTAGGTTTTATCATGTTATTTACCCATGGTTCGCAGAATCCTAGTTGTGGAGTTTAGTTACTCACGCTAATAATCACACAATTCATAATAATAATGTGAGAATTCATGCACTTACTTTGATGAGAATGAACAAAATGCAGAAATTTACTTAAATAAATCACTAGAAACCAATAATCGATTCCGGTAAAGTAATATCAAATCCCAAAATCGACAATTCAATACTAAGACAATAAAAATTGAAATAATCCAAGAGTCTAACACCAAAATAGAGGTTTTACAGACTTTTTATAAGAAAAAAAACCTAATAAAAGAGGGAAATCAATTTATGCAAAAATCTGCCCAAAACGCGTCTGAGTCGACAACCATAGTGACGGACTGTCATCGACATGACAGACCATCGAGGTCTTCCATCGCTCCATACTTTGCTCTTTTTCTATTGCTTTTCTTCATTAACTCTCTGTTATCATTGACGGACAGGTGTGACAGACCGGTGCAAGCACAATGGATTGTCGAGGGGCTTTGTTTCACAACATGTAGAATATTTTGAAGCTGGGTACTGGGACTACTCTCTGTTAGCATTGAGGAATGTGCAGGATGGACCATCGTGGCTATGACACTCCGTCGTGATATTTCGCAGTCCCACACTTTGTCAAAATTCCCCAACTTCCTTCACCACCCACTATGTTCTCACGACGGTTGACCCCTATAAACCTTTACAGTCACGATGGACCGTTGAGGCGTCCGTAAGTTATCACTTCTGTAATTTCAACTCAAAATCTTCGCATTCTCCTCTGGATAGATTTCCTTGAAATAAATAGAAAACTACATCAAAAATCAATACAAAAAGGCTTTTGACACACACTAAACTTAAGGAAAAGGCACTGAAAGTATCGTGAAACCACAACACATCAGTATATTTTTTAGGAGTAGTATTGATCACTTGTTATAGGGACTAAGTTCATAATGACTAAATTCCCCAAACCATCTAAAAATCAAGGGTAGTACATAATCATTCATTTTAGATGACTAATTAAGTGGCCTTTAGAATAGACTAGAGGATCCACTAAGTTATGGAGCTCTATATGACGATAAAGAATAGGAAAGTTTTGGCGCTGTGGGCAAGACATTTTTCACCACTTAGGTTAATAATGGTTGTTGTCGGTTAGAGAATCTTTCAAAATATTATATTAATTTTAGGTAATGGAGTTTTATTGCATCTGTTAAACATGTTGTGTTAACAAGTATTATTTTAAATGTTTTGTATAAAGTGTAGTTCGTTTGTTGTTTTTACTTTGCATTTGAGTTAAGTATTAAGGAGCACAGTAAGACCAAAGTAAGTATTTCTTTCATATTCCTCAAGCTTATGTTATGTTTAGCTTACCAACTTTCATTCTTGTACATTCAATTTACTAATTTCAGTTGGCGTGCATCATATTGTTATGTAAACACAGGTTACCTAGATTAGCATCCAGTGCCTCATTGATCGACTTGTGAACTCAAAGACTGTTGGTGAGCCTCTTAACTTCTATAGGCTCCTTTTTACATTTATTTCTACTTTTCAGTAGTTTGGATGGTTAGGGGACTCTTTCTGACATCCCTCTTTGTTTTATAGGTTTCATAGGTAGATAGATATAGTTCATTAGTCGAGTTGATTTCAGTGATATACGTTCAATACTTGAGTTGCCATTGTGACAAAGTTTTTATCTCTTGACTTATTGTGTGACTTATATTTCTTATGTTTAGGTCTTTCGTTGAGTAAGTAAGCAAGACCAAGGGTCCCCATAGGCCAGTTATGGTTCTCGAGTGCCGACCACGTCTAGGTGTAGGTTCGGGGCATGACATAAATACATGCAAGTTATCCCTGATATATAGTATCAAGATTACCACATGTATTACCCTTGTGTTCAGGAGTATAAACCTATACCGAATTTATATTACTAGTTTAACCCATCGTAAACTTGGAATTGTCCATCAACATGTGTAAAGTTTGTGATAATTATTCTTCAATGTGAGGCTAGGTAATTCTTTGGAGGTCATGTGTAATGCAAATCTTCAACTTTACCTCCACTCACTTAGAATCGGTTTCATGCTCTATTATTAGAGAAATATGAGCCCCAGACTTACAGAGATCGTATTGAAGGACGAGCTTATGGCATTGGAGCAACATAATATGCCTCTAG